TGCGAGTAGGCACAGGGGCTGGGGGTTTTTGATTCCTGGGCCTGCCGTGCCGGCCCCACCCCCAGGACATGCTGAGATGGCAATTGAGACTGGGCATGGTGGAGTGCACCTGTAATCCCAGCTCTTGGGAGGCAGTAAACAGGTAGATTACTATGAGTCCGATCTAGTAGTGAGACCCTGAACACCCTGTAGACCCTTCCCTAAAAAATACAAAAAAAAAAAAAAAAGTACCTACAATCTATGGACTGTTATCAAGTATATAAAGGTCCCTTAAAGACTTCTCCAAATATAACCTCCCTAAAAACAATGAAACATGCATCTCTGACAAAACAATACAAAAAGGGAATATAAATGAAGGATATTTTGTAGTGAAAAAAATACATATATATGTATATACAAAATAGGTAGCATAGATATACAGCTACTTTCTATTAGGTCAACAAGAAGAAAAGTTTGTACTAATATTGTTTAGACAAGATATCATGTCTGTATCTTATCCTCTGAATAACTGACATGAAGACAACAATATGCAATGTATTAATTATTGTAACTGTCCTACTAACCTATTTTGAAACTGTTTCATTGCTGCTTTATCTTTTTTTCTCATTAAAAGGAAAAAGATAGAATAAGATATATCCAATGAAAAAAATTGTGGACCCATAAAGGGGGCAGTTTTGATGCAAGAAGCTCTGGCGGTCCCTGCAGTAGTGGTTATGGATCTGGTGGGGGAAGTGGATATGGTAGCAGAAGGTTTTTTAAAAACCACATAAAGGGCTATAGTTCTTAGCACGAGAAAGAGTGAGGAGTTGTCAGGAAGCTGCAGATTACTTTGAGACAGTCGTCCCAAATGCATTAGAGGAACTGTAAAAATCTGCCACAGAAGGATCAATGATCCATAGTCAGAAAAGTTACTGCAGGGGGCCTGCCCTTTAGCTCAGCTCTTTAAGTGGCTGCTTCAACAAAGCAGTCAGGCTCAGGTTGCTCTGGTTCATCCCAACTCAAGCCAGCCAAACCTGCCCTGAAGGCATTCGGAGCAAAAGAAAGAAAGAAAAGTTACTGCAGCTTAAGAAGGAAACCTTTCTGGTTCAGGATTTTCATAGCCACAGTGTATAAAAAGTGCACCTATCGATTAATGCAATGTAGTGTCAACTAGATGTACATTCCTGAGAGCTTTTATCTGTTGTAGCTTTGTCTTTTTCTTCCTTTTCATTACATCAGGTATATTGCCCTGTAAACTGTGGTTTCAATACTAGGAATAAAAAATTAAGGAATTTCTAACTTTTCAATATTTGTGTAATTCTATTTTTCTGCATTTTAGTACACTTCACAAAATGTATTTTTGAAGATGTTTCCCTGAGTTAAAAAGTAAGGAAGATCATTGTTAATTACTATTTTGTACGAATTCTGCGAAAGTTAACTATAAAAAAACACCTACTCACTTGCAGATTAATGAGAATAAATCTATTCTTCCCATTTCAAACCATGATACAAATGGACACTGACATGTGAAGAGAATAGATATCTGTATGTTTGCAAAGTGTGTTTTAGATAAAATGGGCTTGGTATTTAAATTAGCGTATTTGTGAATTTAAGAATGTTAAGAGTGCTTTTAAATGAAAAATCTCAAAATTCTTACAGTTTTGTGTATTTTCTTTGTAAATGTATTCATGATTTTTACTGTATTAGATTTTCTGAGTCCTGGCTGTGTTTAGAACATCTTCATTCTGTACTTACCTGTATTCACGTTTGAACTGCTGCCATAGTTTTTGAGAATAAAAAATATCTACTTCCCTCTCTGAAATTCTAGTGGTGGTAACTACAGTGGGGGTGGGAACTGTAATGATTTGGGAAATTATGGTGGACAATAGCAGTCAAATTATGGACCCTGAAAGGGGCAATTTTGGAGGAAGAAGCTCTGGAAGTCCCTGTGGCTGGTTATGGATCTGGTGGTAGAAGTGGTGGATATGATAGCAGTAATAGTGGATGTTTTCCCTCTCCTACATTAAAAGCCACTGATTTTTTGAGATACACAATCACTAAGCCCCTATGTCTAACCTAGTTAGTGAATACTTGTTTTTGATTTTTCTGTTCAAAGCACACAAGAGGCCCAGTTTTTAAATCTTGAGTTCTTTTGGATTTTTTTCCCTTACCTCAATAAAAGCATTCACAGCAAGAGAATAAAAATCATGCATTACTGATTCCCTAACTTTCTGGCATGCTTTCTCCTGTCTACCCCATATGTTTTGCTGAATGAAACCAAGGATACTTTAGGTGTAATTGTTCAAAACTGTTCAATGCAGCAGGAATGTAGCACAATGGCTTAGTACAAGCATCACACTCCCCAAAACCCTAGATTCGAATTTGGATAGTCTGCAAGTTCTTAAATTCCCAAAGAACACATTGTGTTATTCCTTGAATATATTTTAACCTAAATCATGTTGGTGTGAGCTGTCATTTTCTTTGGAAAACCCTGGTTAAGAAGAGCTTTCAATTTTCTACTATTCTGCACCAGCTAGTGCTTACACTTTCTTTTATTGAAGCCCTAAGTATGTGCCCTCCTGCTACTTTTGCTTCAGCAATTGAACATTGAAATCAAGATTTTTATTTAGTTTTAAAAGTACTAAGCAAAGCAAGCAATAAAAAGGGGAATGGCGCCTGTAATCCCAGCTCTTGGGAAGCTGTAAACAGGCAGATCACTATGAGTCTGATCTAGTAGTGAGATCCTGAACACCCTGTAGCCCCTTCCCTAACATACAAAATATAATAAATAAATAAATATAAAAATGAAAAGGGGAATGGGGCGTGCTAGTGTGTGAATACGCTCTCTTGCTGCCCTAATTCTGGGCCTCTGTGCATTATTAATGCTTGAATGCATGCAGCGCCAGCATGGAAATCAGTCTTCACAGATACTGCAGAAAACACTCACAAACCAATTTTAGTTTTACCAACAACATTCCATTTGGCAATGGGCATACGTGAATAAACAGTGTAAAAAAAAAAAAAAACTAGGCTAATATTAGAAAATGATTAAGTCCTTTATAACTAAAATTGCCGTTGTATATGTGGACACTGTCAGTGCTCATAATTGAAACCTTGGGTGTCTGGTCAAAACATTGCTTGGGAAACATTTTATTAAATTTGAGTTAAATTGTCTCAAGTTCTTTTATTCATACAATGAAGACTGAAGGAGTAAAGCTTGCCAGCATATGGTAAGTGGAGCATCTTTGTTACTTTTGCCTTTCTCTGAATGTGCTAATGCCATATTTCAACTGTTTTCCAACCCAAGAAAGTGTAATTCTATTGTGTTTGACATTACTTCAATTTCAGTTTTCTGGACTCAGAAATTTACATGCTTATCACGCTGGAAATAATAGGCTTTGACTTCCAGTTTTTGTATTTAGGGGGAACATCTATATTTAAATAAACTACTTAAGGTTCAAAAATAAAAGATTGAAGGAATGGGTAAGATTTTAAAAATAATATAAATAAATAAAGAATAAAATTTTAGAAACAAAAAGAATGAGAAATTCTGAAGGGAATACACCAAACCTACAGGACACAATTATGAAACTGTATGAATAATAGCTTAAAAGATTGTGCCAATAGGAATTTCTAGATTGGAATGAGGTTTGAGAAAAAGATAGGGTTCAAGATTCAAAGAGGGGGCCTGCCTATTACCTCAGTTGTTCAAGTGCCTGCTAAACAAAGCACTCAGTCTCAGGATACTGTGGTTGGAACCCCAGATCCTCATGCCTTACCAGAACTGCACTTAAGGCATCCTGAGAGAGCCAAAAAAAATAAATAAATAAAAATAAAAATACTTGTGAACTTTTTGGGCCAGGGAGATAGCTCAGTAGAATAAGCGCTTCCCTGTCAAGCACAAGGGCCTGAGTTCAATCCCCAGTTCCGCCAAAAAATAAGAAGAAGAAGAAGATTCAAAGGAAACCTAGCGTTTTGGGCCTGAAGCTGAAAATAACAAGTCCTTGAACAGGGAAGGCTGGGGTGGGAGGAAGCATCACCAAGAGCTCAGATCTGGGTTACACCAAAAACATTTGCTAAGGGGCTGGGGAGATAGCTCAGTAGAATAAGCACTTTGCATGGCAAGTGCAAGGTCCTGAGTTCAATCCCCAGTACCAAAAAAAAAAAAAAAAAAAAAGGAAAGCAAGAACATTTGCTAGAACAAATCCACTTGGTATATAAATCATGTTACCTTCAATACATGAGCAGAGTAAATCACAAGCTCAGTGAGTGGGTAATGAAGATATGGGTTGAAACTCACCAAGCCTGCAGCCCAAGCTAAATCAAGACAATGTGCAGAAGTTGCTGGTGTTATTTCACAACAATTGGGCAACAATATTCTTCCACCTAAAATCCTCAAGTTCCTCTAATTTGAAAAAAGAGGAACAGCTGTGCTTGTCTCCCTGGCTGTCTGCCTTTGCATGATGAGCCAGGGACGGTTCTGCTTTAGGAGAACATGTTTACTAGCAGATTGCTGGGCCACCCACACAGACCCTGGATCTGAGACACGTGTATCAGTGGCCCTCAAACTATGAGCAATGAGGCTCAGAAAATCTCCAAAATCAGCAAGGCTAGAAAAGGTGCTCCCTGGCCTGATTCTAATTTTATGTACTAAAGTGACCTAGGGATCCTATCCATCTTAAGAGCCAGGAACTGATTCCCTAGCCCCTGGCTCTGTAGGCAGGCTCTGGGGGATGGATGACAGGATAGTTTATGTATATGTGTGTGTTTTACGTGTCTGCTCCTGTGGCTTCATAGCCCTGTCCTGTCCCTTCCTCTTCTCTGGCCACACCCCTTTCAGTCTCATCTGGGTGACTTCTTCCTGCTGTGCCCAGCTCAGGCTATTCTCCCTGCTTGCTTCACAGGGCCAGAAAATTTCTCAAGAGACCTGCAATTGGGCAGCCCTGAGCTGCGTCCTCAGCTCCGAGCCCATCCGCTGGATGGCATCTCCCCTCACTTCAACTCCAGTGAGTGCTGCAGCTCAAAGTTTGATCCCAGAAGCCCAGGTCCCAGAATATGGAAGAATCTGAGAAGCATAGAACAGTAAGTGTCACTCACACTCCATCTTCCCATTCCTCCATACCCCCCTCTCTCCATTTTCCTATTCCCATTTCCCATAAGCCCTGATCCCTTCTCTCCTCCCCAAACATCATCTGGCTGCTTCTAGACTCCACCACTCTCCTTAGGGATCCTCCATCCTCTGGCTTTTTCTACCCTTTTTCTCTCCCTTAGTACTGTTCCTAGTACTAATCATTTGTAGAGAATCTAAGATTTACAAAACTGGGTTCTGAATGACAGGCCAAGAGAAATGGCTTACTCATGGTTTTGCACTGGGAGACAATAAGATTCAAGGCAAATGGAGATCTCTGTACTCTGCCTGCCTGATATCTTTCATACACCCCAACCCACTCACCCACCACCCCCATGGCCATCCCCAAGTCTGTCTTGCGTAGAAAAGGGGTGGCCATCCAAGTCCAGGGACAGCTGGCCTATTACTCAGAGCTACTGGAAAAAAAGGTGCTGAAAGAATTCCCCTTTCAGCTAGACAACACAGCACATTTTGGAAGCTCTGCTGAGACTATACCAGCCAGTTCAAAGAAGGCAAGCAACAAAGTCTTAGTGACTCAGAATGAGGAGCAGCAGTACTGGCCTCCGAACATCTACTCCTTGAAGAAGAAACACTGCTGTCCATCCACCAGTGTCAAGGAAGCACCACATCTGACAACAAGTGAGTAGACAAAGGCTCTCTACATCACCACAGGGACACCATCACCACAAATAAACTCTCCTTCCAGGCCTCATTGATAACTTGAAATTGTGCACTTGAAGGAACATCTATGCCCTAGAGGAGGATGGATCTTTGTGCATTGCTGGGAGGGCCTTGCTGGGATCCAGAGTCCCACATCCTCTTCTAGTCAGGTACATTTTCAGGCTCCAATGTGGTCCTCACAATGCCTTGGAAGATGCACTGCCAAGACTGGAGATGAGAGAGGATGCCATTAATAAGGGTACTATGAGGGATGGGCATGTGTTTCAAGCCCAGCTCCCAAGAGAACTTGTTCCACACTGCTGTTAAAATCACAGACTTGGGAGCTGGGCAGAGGCAGATCCAAGTTCTTCTCTATCACCCTGAGCAAGTCAATTCACTGCTCTCTACTTTTGTTTCTACCTGTGAAGTGGGAGAGGAAAATCCTAACTCCCTAAGCTGTGTGAAGGTTAGAAGTAACCATTCATATTAAATATTTAGCAAAGTCTAATGTACAGTAAATGTTAAATAAATATGAACTCTTGTTAATACTATCCATAGCCCTGGTAGGAAGTAGTTTAGAGCCTCAGAAAGCTCAGAAAGTACTGTTAATTTACTCAGAGAAATGATAGCTACTTATACAAATTTCCTGGACCCCACATCAAGACTTTTTCCCCAGTGCATCTTTCTCTGAATGTACCTATGAAGGAGACTGTGAAGTGAGTTGTGTCTTCCTTCTAATCTCTCTCACCCTAGACAGGGGATTGGCTTAATATGAGGGACCCCAGGCTCAGCTCCCTAGCTCCTGATCCTTGACCTCTGACAAGCCCCCAACCTCTGTCTCTTTCCCATAGGCCATGGTTTCTCATTCCTCAGCTCTCCAAGTACACCCAACATGGCATCCCCCAGCTGGCCAACCTCCACAGCAGTGCTGGGGTTCTTGGGCTCTGAGTCCTTGGAGAACCCTCTGGAGAAAAGAATTTTGACAGGGCTGCCTGACATGTCTGGACACCATATGAGAGGTGAGGCTTGCTGACTTGTGCCTTGATCACTGGGTGGGGCTATAAATCAGCCTATGAGTCCTCAAATGTAAGCATAGACCTGTATGAGCCCTGGGATGAGGAATTGTGGAGGAAAGATGGAGAAGGAAGAATGGGATATGAGAGGGATGTGGCTAGAAATGATTTCTGAGGGATCTTCCAGTGCCAAAACTGTTCCCTTTCCATCTCACATATGGGAAACTGAAACACACGTGTGGGTCTGGCAGTAAGTGTTACCTCACTGTATCTATGTGTGTCAGGGTCCTTGCCCAGGCAAAGTACACTTATAATATTTGTGGGTGATGAAGATCTGTGGGGTCAGGCTGGTTCAAAAGATCCAGGACTCACTTCCCCACAGAGATAACAAGAGCCTGGGCATATTCCTCAACACCAGCCACTTCTCTTCCCTGACTTCTCTTTTTTTTTTTTTTTTTTTTTTATTTTCTTTTTTATATTAATTTTAATGAGAAAGAAATAGCAATGAGGCAGTTTCAAAACAGGCTAGCAGGACAGTTACAATAATTAGCACATTGCATATTGTTGTCTTCATAGTAGTTATTCAGAGTACAAGATGCAGACATGATATCTTCTCTAAATAGTATTAGTACAAATCTCTCTTCTCATTGAGAGAAAGTATCTGTATACCTATCTTATTTTGTATATACAGATATATATTATATATACATATATATTTAACCCACTACTATTATGGACTATTGGACTATATTGGGTTATTTTGCTGAATTCAAGCACTTACAATATTTAAACGACAATGGAACACCCATCTCTGACAAAACAAAACAAAAAAGGGGGATATAAATCAAGGTCCATTTTGTAGTGACTTCCCTTATTTTTTTCATCTCTATTATCTCAGCCACCCAGGCAACAAACCTCAGCCACATCATTGCCTCTTCCTTTTCTCATTACACTTCAAAGTGGTCACCTCTTCCCTGTAGCAAAGTACTAGACAGTGTAGCTCACTTGTCCAATCTCACGTGCACTTACAGACAAAGCCAGGGCCAGAATCTAGAAAACTCCACAAATGAGGCTGTCATTCCCTCCCCTATCCTGCTGCTGCTTTGTGAAAGTCTCAGTCCTCCCTCTCTTCCTCTCACTTTCCTCTGAGCATACTGTCATCACCCTTCTTGTGCCCACACCCTGACAGTGGTGGTTATAGGCTCAGACTCCATTATTCTCAAGTTTCACCCTAACTTTACTTCTTGCTTAGTGGACCATGTACCTTCAACCCCTCTCTCTTTAATGTTTCTCTTCTAAGCCCTCACAAAACTTCATGACTACTGTTTGGACCACATCTCACTCCACAATGCTGAATTTGCACCTCTTTCAACTTTACACACAAAAAGAATCATTTACAGACGGGTGTGGACACACACTATAAATCCCAGTACTTGAGAGGCAGAGACAGGAAGATCACAAGATCAAGGCCACCTGAAGAAATTTAGTGAGACCCTACCTTAAAATTTAAACATAAAAGAAAAATGTTAAAGCTGAGAACATAACTCATTGGCACAATATTGACCTATCATGTGTGAGTTCAATCTCCAGTAACACACAGGAAAAAGTCTGAGTGAAGTTTCTACTAAAAATATGTTACAATGCTAAACTGCTGACACCCTTTCTCCCACAAATATTTCACTTATGCCCCTACTGCCATGCCTCACCTTTTTGCCCCTTCCTCTGCAGTATACAATTCACCTGCCCTTTCCCTTCTCTACAACATAGAGCATTTCCCTCTGCACTTAATCTCAGTCTGAGTTTCACTGCTTAGTAAAATTGGCAGTAAGCACAAATCATCCTCCTTCAAATGTTGCAGGAAACTATTTCTTATCACTTAAAGTAGGGACCACACCCACACAAGTGATTTGTCAAAATCTTTCTATCTAACGTACACTGCACTCCCACAGGCAAGTTTCAGAGCATTTACTAAGAACACAAAACTGTGCATCTGCCTTTAGGTGACTTTTAAAATAAAACACTCATCTCACAGGATTTTGTGGCAGTTCAAAATGTGTGTCTCCAAAATAATGGATTTTCTGTAACGAGTCATTTCTTTCCTGTCATTTCCCCCAAGAAAAACCTTCCCCGCTCTTCGACCAAGCACTTTCAAGTTCTCCAACGCACGAGTCTCCAAGTCAGACATCACCTAATCCCCCTACAGCCACAGCCATGCTGGGGAGCTGGGTACCTCTGCTTCCCACTGACCCAGAGCCAAGCAATCAGGAAGCTTTTGGGACCAGGTTCACGATGGATAGAACTGCTGGAAATTATTGCACAGGTGAGTCTTTGCCAAGTTCCCGGGGACTGCGAAGAATCCCAAGTCATGACAAAGAGTCAGTCCCCTGGGTGCCAGGTGGGCAGGCTGAGCACAGAGGTGAACTTCAAACAGCTCTGTAAAACTCCTGCTATTAGAGTCTGGCTGTAGGACAAAGGTATTAAATAACACAAAGGTATTAAGCTAATGTTTTCTTATACAGAGGCAATCCCAATCATGAAAGAATACTTTAGAGATTTTATTCTCCTTTACAATATCTTAGTGCCAATTTTTAAAGCTGCCTTTGTGTTGAGCTGAATAGTAGGGCTCTGATTTGTACTAAAACTATAAGCTTACCCTGGTATAATATTTTACTGGAGGAGTGTCATATGTCTGAAGAAAGTGTGTGTGTATCTATGTAAGAGATGTAACCTTAGTAGTATGTGAAGAATATCTGTACCTTCATTTCTTGATATACTAGTTCATGATCCTTGTAGTATACTGCATTTATTTTCTCTGCCTCTAAAAAAATTAGTCAATCCATTTTACAAATTATAAATTTAAAATATATTCATTTCCATCATATCTTACCTAAGAAGTCTTTCCCCAGATGTTCTAATATTTCCTTTACTGTGAAACGCCTCGATTTGAAAATACGAAAAGCCTTATTTTCTCTGTGTGGTTCAGCTATTTTCCAGTTGTTATTATGCAAAATTACATTCTATTAAATTGCCATCTATTGAACATTTTTCATGTACAGTTAAAAAGTCCTATTAGAGTCTGGCCATAGGAGAAAGGCATTGTTTCGAGGAGGCTTCTAGAACTAAGATGCAGCTGCCTTCTCCAGCACAGGAAATGCACCAACCGGTTTAGTGAGCATCGGTCTAAGGTCAAGAAAGCTAGATTCACATTCCACAAATTTCCCTCAGCGCCACTCTCCCCAAGGACCTGGGAGGGGAGGGTCACATGCCTTCAAGTGCCTTCTGGACATCCCAGCTATCTCAGCCCTGCTTCCAGTGCATCACTTTCACATTCTGCTTACATTTCATCACCACTCCTTGAGGAAGAGATTGTTATGCCAGATGATGACAAAGTTGAGGATCAAAAAGATAGTAACTTCAGCTTTTAATGTAAGAGCTGAAATTCAGTCTGTACTCCCCCCCAACACCACAATCCACGCCTTAACCCTACATCTGACTTGCTCAGGCATCCGGGCAAAGAGTACAGTTATCCTGAAGCCACAGGCACACAGACTCCTGATACCAAGGTCTTAACCCTGAGCTACACTGCTCCTCAATGCTAGATGATGCTGCCTTTGAAATCTGAAAGATGCTGGATTAAAAGGGTCTCTTCTAGCCACTGCTAGGAGTAGACTTGTGGGATTTATAGTCCTAAAATGTGGCTCAGACTCTAACTATGTCTGCCACTTGGCACAATTATTCACACTACTTCTTATTCAAAAAGAAAAGAGTGGAAAGAATCAAGAAAGGAAGGAAAAGAAGATATGTGAGAAGGATTATAGTCATCTTACAGAAATATACAAGTAGAACAACAGTACTGAAAAGCAATAACTGTTGTGCATGGTGACACATGCTTATAATCCCAGCACTTGGGAACCTGAGGCAAGAGGATCACCATGAGTGTGATGCCAGCCTGGGCTACATAGTGAGTTCAAGGACAGCCTAAACTACATAGTGAGAACTGTGTCAAAAAACAAAAACAAGGGGCTGGGGAGCTGGCTCAGTTGAATACGTGCTTCCCTGGCAAGCACAAGGGCCTGAGTTCAATCCCCGGTTCCGAACCAAAAAAAAAAAAAAAAAAAAAGTATGAAAACTATGAAGACAAATTAGTTGCTATAATTAAAGAGTCCATTGGTTCTGAGCATTTTAGCAAGTAAGGGAAAGCAGGTGACTATCCAGGGGTGGCATCCAGTAAATCTAGCAAGCCTCCTGTCTGTTGAAGATTTGCCAACACTGTGTCAGGTGTATACCATTAAAACTGGGATCATGAATTTTTAATGTGCAGCTTAAGCTGTGTCTGAGTTGTGTTTTTTATTGCTGAGTCAAAAAACACCCAATTCCCAAAGTTAAAGGAAGAAAAGTTTATTTGACTCACAGTTTTTAGAGATTTTAATCCATAATTGGTTGGTCCCAAGGCAGGGTGACACAGCAGAGTGGCACTGCAGAGCAGGCAGGCAGAAAGCCCCAACAGCAAGCTACCACTCTGGGGAACAATCCCTCCTGTGAGCCCGAGTAGTCACAGTTCACGAGGCATCTTCCTGCGGGTCGCAAATTGGTTTCCTCAGAAACGTACCTTGACCTGGGGCTGGCATGCAGGTAGTTTACTGGGGAGTCTATTCCAGGAGGTATTGGTAGGAGGACAGAAACATGAGGCAGGAGGAGAAGAAGCCCTGAAATGGTACAGTGTGGGGCAGCACACATCTGTAAGAAACTCTTAGTCTATTGTGAATTTCTGTAACAGAACAAGTGAGATCAGGTAACTTGAAAAGAAGATTATTTAGCTGGCAGTTCTTCAAGTCCAAGATCAGAGAGATGCCGCTACTCTACTTCTGCTAAAGACATTGGGATGATTCATGTGTGGCAGGGAAAAAGCCGAAGGGAAAACAAATGCATGCAGCAGAGAGGACAGGTGTGCCAATCCCCACCATAGCTACCCCATTCCCACAAAACCTTAATCCACTTCTTATGACACAAGGCCCTTGTGCTTGCCAGGGAAGCACGTATTCAACTGAGCCAGCTCCCCAGCCCCTTGTTTTTGTTTTTTGACACAGTTCTCACTATGTAGTTTAGGCTGTCCTTGAACTCACTATGTAGCCCAGGCTAGCATCACACTCATGGTGATCCTCTTGCCTCAGGTTCCCAAGTGCTGGGATTATAAGCATGTGTCACCATGCACAACAGTTATTGCTTTTCAGTACTGTTGTTCTACTTGTATATTTCTGTAAGATGACTATAACTCACCCACACCTCTGAACACTGATATCCCTGACAATCTCATCTCAACATGAGTTTAATGGAGAAAAATGATATCCAAGGTATAGCAGCTGTGAGGATGTTGGGAGACAACGTAGAATATATGCCTGAGTTGCCTGTCCTGGAGCAGGGGAACCCTACTTATTGTCTGTTGAGGGCACCCTATACAATTTCAGGCACACTGCACTTTGGGGGTCACAAGAGCCCTTGGAATGACCCTCACAGGTGCTTCCAGAAGGACACATATGGAAGGTCCACAATGGTCAGATGCTCAGGAGATGCTATTGTATCTTCTCTGCCTCCACAGCCTTCAACAAAGGGGACTATGCAATCCCTGATGTGCAGCTAAGAAAACTGAGGCCCAGTACAGTTATGGGCCCTGGTGATAGGTTTGATGAGGGAAGAAGTTATGCATATTTGTTCAGTCTTTATTCCCAGCCCCAAGAACAGTGCATGGAACATAGTAATTTCTTGATGAATGTTTGAAGAATGACTTGGTGTATGATTTGGAAGAATGACTTGATGAAGTCAAGATTTGAACTAAAATTTTCTGTTCCAAAGCCCATATTCCACTGACTGCACTGGCCAAAACATACCATGTCTGCAGCCAGGGAAATGTGTGACTTGCAGTATGCCTAAATTCATTTGGTGGTTGAATGAATGAGTCAATGAATGAATGAACAACTCTATTCTCTACTTTAAAGTTCTATCTTTTTATCCCTTACTTAGAAAGCAAAAAAAGATACCAGGACCAGAAGGCAGAGAAGCCCTGCCCCACACAGTCTTCAAAAAACGAAGTTTTGCACCTAAAATTCATACATCTGTTACTTTTACAAAAAGATCTTCTCAGAGGCCAGGAGCTCCTGGCCAGGGAAAGCTGCCATCACAACACAGTAGAAGAGCAAGGACATTTGGTTGAGATCCAAGACTTATTTGGGCCTGTCTCAGGTATCCAAGAAGAACCTCACACAGTCATACTGTATGGGGCTGCTGGTATTGGGAAATCAACACTGGCCAGACTGGTGAGGGTAGGCTGGGAGCAAGGCCAGCTCTATAGGGACTGCTTCCAACATGTTTTCTTCTTCAGTTGCAGAGAGCTGGCCAGGAGCAAGGTCATAAGTCTGGCTGAGCTCATTGCACAAGACTTGAGTGATTCTGCAGCTCTCATTCGGCAGGTCCTGTCTCGGCCAGAGCTGCTCCTCTTCATCTTGGATGGTGTGGATGAGCCAAAATGGGTCTTACAGGATCCAAACTCTGAGCTCTGTCCACACTGGAACCAGCCACTTCCAGTGCCTGCACTGCTGGGCTCTTTGCTAAGGAAAACCATACTTCCCGGGGCTTCCTTTCTAATTACAACTCGGACCACAGCTCTGCAGAAGCTCATTCCTTCTTTGAAGCAGCCACACTGGGTGGAAGTCCTCGGCTTTTCTGAGAGTAGAAGAAATGAATATTTTTACAAATATTTCACAGATGAAAGGCAAGCAATTAAGGCCTTTAGATTGGTGGAATCAAACCCAGAGCTCTTGACCCTGTGTCTCATACCCTGGGTGTGCTGGCTGGTCTGCACTTGCCTGAAGCAGCAGATAGAACAGGGGAATGAACACCCACTGACCTGTCAGACCACTACATCTCTCTGCCTGCACTACCTATCCCAGGTTCTCTTGACTCAGGACCTAAGGACATCATTCAGGAGCCTCTTCACTCTGGCTGCTGAGGGCATCTGGCAAAGAAAGACGCTGTTCAGTGCAGATGACCTCAGGATGCACAGGTTAGAAGATGACATCATCATCACCTTCTTGAAGATGGATGTCCTTCAAGCTCACCCCAGGACTCTGAGCTACAGCTTCACTCACCGGTGCATGCAGGAGTTCTTTGCAGCAGTGTCCTGTGTCTTGGGGGATGAGGAGGAGAGCAATGAGCATCCTGGCAATCTCAGAGTCACGGGAAAATTACTAAAAGTGTATGGAAGGCATAACCTGTTTGGGGCACCAACCGTGTACTTCCTATTTGGCCTTTTAAGTGACCAGGGGGCCAGGGTATTGGAGAACATATTCACCTGCAAGCCACCTGTGGAGCAGAGATGGGAGCTGCTGCAGTGGATCCAAGAGGAAGTCCTCCCATGGCCTTCATACTCCCTGGACATGCTCCATTGTTTCTATGAGATTCAGGATAAGGAGTTCCTCACGCAGGTGATGGCCCATTTCCATGGAACAAGAATATGCATCCAGACAGACATGGAGCTCATGGTGTTCATTTTCTGCATTAAATTCTGTAGCCATGTGAAGAGGCTTCAATTAAATGAAAGTGAGCTACAGGAACTGGGATGGAAGCCCTCCAGGGTAATTCTGTAAGTATCCCAAACCACCCCTCTCTCTACTTCTCTGTCATTACTACAAGCTCTCATATCCTGAGCACAGAGGCACTTTCATGCAGCCAGGTGCCAGGGATAAAGGATGAAAGTCAACAGTGTCTACTGGCTTCCCAACCTGACCATTGTCCATTTACCTACAATCCTCTGCACACCTGGCCATGTGACAGAGCAGTTATCCTGTTGCCTTTCCTTCAGCTTCTCTGACAACCAACGTCCTTTTCTGTTTGACATGTTCCCACCTTTACACTGACCTTCACATTGCCCACATCCCCTCCAAGAATCAGGCACTCACTTGCCTCTGCCCTTCTTTCTTGCCATCCTTTCTCTCTGAGAACCTGCTCCTTCAAGCACCACATTAAAGACATGGGCTCTGAGATCTTCCCTCATAATCTCTGAATGCATGTGTCTGAGACAGAGTGCTATTGTTCCTTATTTATTGTATCAATGATGCTACAATAGCTGCTGTCTCTCTTCCTGAAGCTCACATCTGAGCATGAAAACATAGCTTTGTCCAACCATCCTGAACACCCAGAAACACTGAACTTCTCCTTGAAGTTTCTCTGTTCTTTTTGCAATATCTTTTTGAGACAGGGACTAGTTAAGTAGCCCAATCTAGCCTTGAACTCACTATGTAGCCCAGGCTGGCCTCAAGCTCAGAGCTATTTTCCTATCCTCCTGCCTCAGCCTCCCAAGTTCTGGGATTATAGGTAAGCACCATTGCACCTGGATTTCCTTGTTACAATATTGACCATTATCTCTCAACATAAATCTATCTCCTTTTTCAAGATGTTTCATTCCATAAATATTCATTAAGCAGTGACTCAGAACTGGGGATATGACTCAGTAGTAGAGTGCTTGCATAGCATGTGATAGGTCTTAGATTTGATTCCCAGTACATGCACATACATACATACACACACACACACACACACACACACACACACACACACAAATGAACTTATCCCAGGTCCTACAAATTACAAATTGAAAAACATAATCCTTGCCTTAAGGGGCTCACATACTGGGAGAGAAAACCATCATACACGTAGTCATTACATCAGAGTGATTCTGCAATAATAAAGGTAAGGGCAAGATACCACCATGGCCCAATGAAGGGAGTGATCATGCAAGTGAATTAAAAGAGGCTTTATCTAATTGAGTCTTCTAGTTTCAGATTCTTAGAGCTTTTTTCTTATAATGAAACCCATGTTCATTGCCAAAAAAAAATAAGGGCATGTGGGTCGGGGAGATAGCTCAGAGGCTTAAGTGCCTGCCTGGCAAGCACATGGTCCTGAGTTTGATCCCCAGTACTGGAAAAAGAAATGAGAGAGAGAGAGAGAGAGAGAGAGAGAGAGAGAGAGAGAGAGAGAGGAAAACTGAACTGTCCTATATATTTTGTCACATACTCAGCTTTATTTTCTTAATATATGAAGGCTATGTTCCTCTGTTGTTAAGAAGTCTAAGGGGATAGCCAAATAGCTCAGCAGACTAAAGCGCCTGCTTAGGCAGAGTGCAGTGGCCAGGGTTCTATCCCTGGCATGACGTACCAGCCCCACCCCCGGGAAATGCTGAAACAGCAAATGAGACTGGGCATAGTGATGCACGCCTGTAATCCCAGAGCTTAGCAGGCTGAAAACAGGAGGATCACTATATGAGTCCAATCTATGTAGTGAGACCCTGTACTAAATACATTTTTTTTAAAGTTTAAAAAAAAAGTCTGATACAGCACAAGCTTAAATGACCATATGATGGTCACTAAGGAGAGAACCATGCCTGCTTTGATCATTTCCCTATTGGCCATTTTAGACTGTCTCTAGTTGTTCACAGCTATAAATATGATAGTTGGCCTTGGGGACCTGCTTGCATGCAAAGGTCCAGCCCTCACAGAGGGGATCATGGTAGAGGGAAGATGGAATGAAAAGAAAGAAATCCAGAGTTGGGAGGACTAAGCTTCTGGCTCAGTCATTACATTTATTGGTTTCAAGGTTATATATAGAAAGTTGTGAACATGTGCCCAACATTTGCCCTAGTTAACTCGAAGTCTTTCCTGTTTCCCTGGGAACAAAATAGCTTGCCAAGGCCAAGCTGATAAACAGGACACCACATATTCCAGAGTGCTTAAGACACAGGTGAGCTCTTTGCTGGAATCCTGGGAATGCAGCTGAGCCCATTGCTGAGACCACAGGTCAAAAAAAAGCTGTACACACTGCTACATCTACAGCCTTGTGATTATTCATTCTGTGACCCGGTCTCCAACAGTTACAGGTGGTTCAAGTGGTAGTGGTCTGACCTGAGACCTTCAGAAGTGTCCTGAAAAGATACAGAGGCAAAAGCCAGGTAGAAACAAGAAGAAGCAGGGACACCAGAGTAGCAAGGCACTTTGGAGTGGATGGTAGCAGCACATGAAGCCTGGAGAGGATCTGGTGGGAAAGTCAGGGGCTTCTGAAGCAAACGATGAGGGCAGGAGAGAGGCTCTAGGTCAGCCCAACCTTCCCATGGGAAGGAGAATGAGGTGGCTGCATTGCAAAAGCAGGGAAGTCCAGGAAAAAATGGTGAAGACAGCCAAGGGTGTGGGCAAGGGAAAGGAGGATGAATCAGAGCTGTTAAAGCAATGAATCTGACAGGGTGAGCAGCCTGCTAGGTATATTTGTCTTATAAGTAATCCTTGCACATCTTGAATGATAAATTTTTAATTTTTTTCAGTCAGTATAAATACTACACATGCCTCAAAAAGCCATTTCTCAGTGGTCTAATTATTTCTATCATATCTATCTAGTTTTATCACATTTGAATGATACATTTTTAACTTTTTGTTTCATTCAACATTGGCCACCTTCAATCTTTTTTTTTAATTCATATGTGCATTTATACTTCGGAAGGTGTTAAAACTTCACTAGTACTTTGGGACATCCTGCAACACCTTGTACTACTCACAAAACTTCTGTGGCCATTATTGCTGTCCTGATATGGCAGCTGAGAAGATAAATGAGGCACAAGGAAAGAGCCCTGGAGTGCAGGCAGCTGGCTCAGAGCCTCTGCTCCTTGCCTCTGCATGGCTCTGCATACCCAAGGGGAAAAATGAGTGAAGAGTGGAATGTATTGGGATGCAGTAGGTCAGAGAGTTACTGGGGTGTTGAAGTAGGGATGTCCTGGCAAGAAACCAGCCTGAAGTTTGGAAGAAAGTTTTAGTAGTGGAAGTTTAGAACCAGGAAAAACACTAAATTAGTGTCAAAATGGAAAAATTAAATGGATGAATGTCACACAGGCCTGAGCCTACTTCAGCACTCTCCAACCTCATCGTCCTTCCCATCTAGGAATCCAGGATGCAAGAATTCTCTCCTGCTACATTTCCCCTTTCTACCTCTCTCCTATGGACCACCTCTGTGGTCTTGCTATTCTTGGAAAGAAAGAGCAATTCATGAATAAAAACCAATGTGGACAAAAGTATATATGGTCATATCCAATATTCCATCTTCAAACCACCCATTCTGGGCTCTGTTCCCACTATCTATCTCCTCCTTTCCCTTCTGGTCTCTGAGACTCTAGAATTCTGCACCAAAGAAGATAGGTGTGTATGCATTAAAGAAAGAAAGTCTGTCAAACTACCAAGCACCTCCAATATACCAGGCCTTATCCTGGGCACTGCAGATTTTAAAAAAGATGTTATCTGCAGCGGCCTGGGTTCCATCACTGGTGTGCTGTGCCAGCCCAGCCCCTGGGGCACACTGAGATGGCGATTGAGATTGGGCATGGTGGTGCGATTGAGACTGGGTGTGGTAATGCACACCTGCAATCCCAACACTTGTGAGGCTGAAAACGGGAGGATCAGTATGAGTCCAATCTGGGTAGGGAGACCCTGTAGACCCTGTAGGCCCTGCCCTAAATGCAAAAAGAAAAAAGGAAAAGTTGTTATCTGCCCATACCCTTAAGGAATTCCCAAAGGCAGAAATGGACACAGAACATGAATACATCAATATGTTCTTTCAAGGGCTGTAAAATTAAGAGAAAACCAGAGGAGGAATGCCGAGCAGGTGAAGGACAGGTGGAAAGGTAGGTCAGTCCTGGGGATGGCACTACCCATTACAACATGGTGCTTAGGGGGACAGAGCCTACTTTGTGATATGAACCCAAACTGTGCAGCTCAGACCCTGCACAGATAACTCATCTCTCTCTCTCTCTCTCTCAGGTCCACGTGGAAACCACTAACAAATGATAGTTGGAAGGTTCTCTTCTCCATCCTCAGGGACACTGGCAGCCTGAAGGAACTGGATCTAAGTGGAAATTTACTAAGTCACACTGCCATGCAGAGTCTTTGTGAGTCACTGAGACACCCTCACTGTCGCCTGGAGACCCTGTGGTGAGTTTGACCTGGGTTTTCCTCCTGCACAAGCTGAGTGAAAAAAAACAAGGCAGATACTGAGACTAGGATGAGTAATTAGTCTCGCCATTCATCAAATATTCATAGATTCCATCTCTGACTACGCACTATGACAGATCAAGGGCTGTTATGGGGAACAAACCAAGGCAGGATTCTGTTGTTATGGAGAACAAACCAAGGCAGGCTTCTGTTGTTACAGGGAACAAACCAAGGCAGGATTCTGTTGGGGAGAAACAGACATGGATCAAGGAATTATACTATCAAATGTGTAACAACAGGCCCAGACAATGTCTCCAGTAGAGAAAATTTCCTTCAGGGAGTCATTTGAAGGAAATCTAAAGAATAGCAAAGGGGCCAGGGAGATAGCTCAGTGGCATAAGTGCCTGCGTGGTAAGCACAAAGTCCCTAGTTCAATCCCCAGTACCACATGAAAAAAAAAAAAGATTTGGTCAAGTGAATCAGGAGGAAAGGAAGTTTCCAGCAGAGGGGATAACATTTCCTGTTTCCTCCTTCCTTTCCTTCCTAACTACCATTTTATTCTTTGCATCTGTGCATTTTTTTTTCAGGTCTCGCATACAAGTAAGATCATGCAGTGTTTTTCTGTGCTTGGCTTATTTCACTTTAGGATTTCTGAAACTATAATAGTTGAAGAATCCCAGGGTTATTAGTTTTGGATATGTAAAAGTGAGCATATTATATAGACAGAAGAGGGTTTACAAGGGACACAGTGGAGATCTCAAAGAGCCAGGAGCAAGGTCGAGGAGGGGAAGGAAGACATGGAATTAAGGCGCTTGAGCAAAAGCCTTGTCCTCCCTCTGTAACGGAAGGAAGAAGGACTGCAAAAGCACAGCAGCTGGGAAAGACAGCTGAGAGACATCGAAGGTTTCAAGTCCCACAGCAGCAGCACCCTTTAGGCACTTCTTCTAGGCACTGTCCCAAGTGCATGGCACATATGACCTCTAGTGACCTTTGCAAATGCGTTGCACTATAGGCTTGATAAATCCATGTTATAGGAAACTAAGGACAATAATGAGGAAACTTGCCCATCTTCATCAAATAGTAATTGACAGGCAAGACATGAACCCAAGTCTGTGTGGCTCCAGAGTCCTTATCTATTCTACACCACCACCCCCATCAGATGTCCTCAGGCTGGATGTCCTAAGTCTCAGGCTAGCTGTCTTCAGTGGGGTGGGCAGGGGCTGAGCTTTGCAGAAGGGCATCCACCCAAGCACATCTTGCAATAGTGAGTCTTTGGGTACGAATAAAATCTCAAGAGGAGCTTTATCCTCAAACTTTATTTTTATACAAATGATTAAACTAAAAAATGTACTATAATTTCATCTATGTCCTGCTACCCAGGAGCATCCCCTGCCTCCACGCACACTCAATGCAAGCACACTTAGGGCTTTTTAGTCATGATTTTGAAGCATTAAGTGACATATTGCGAGCTTGGTGTGCAGATGAGGTCCTGAGTGTGCTTCCGGGAGCTGAGCAGACCCCACTATAGAAGGGAAGGGTGGCGGAAGCTGGACTTGGACCTCAAGAGCAGAAGACCTCAGGCACCATTCCCCCAGAGAGAACTGTGTATCTATAGCACCAAGCACATGCACACCCTTTGTCTTGCATAAATAGTGACACACCACAAAGATCATCATGTCCCTGGCTTTGTCATTTAAAATAGATCTTAATGTGTTCTAACATCAGTACATGCAAAGTTGCTTTGCACTTCCTAACAACAACAGTCTACAATTCCACTATATTTATTCACCCCACCATCCTTTTTAAAAAAACAAGGTCTTAGTTATTGGACCTGGTGTTAGTTCAGCCCAGCTTTGAACTCATTACATAGCCCAAGCTGGCCTCAGATTCATGTTACTCCTCCTGCCTCAGCCTCCCAAGTGCTAGAATTACAGACATGAGCTACCACATCAGGACCTACCATGTTTTTTTAATCACTTCTTTATTATGGGCATCTAATCTCTCCTCAGTCTTTGCCACACTAAACAGAGTTGCAGCTGATTCCCAACCTGTAGCCTAAATTATGAGAAGTGCTGGGTAAAGACATCTTAGTTCATACTAATCAAAGGATATGGTGCTTACAAAAATATAAAAAGCCATAGTAAGCTTCATCCCTAAGCCCCCCAGTGTTACTCCTTCCTAGTGCATCTCTGTAGCCACCCCATTACCAAATGGGAGAGGTTGAAAGGGGCAAGAAAAACTTCACCTGTAAAAAGAGAGTAAACCAGCCTGCCTTCATCGTTGCTCCTCTTCCCAGATGAGCTGTCCCATTCCCTCTCTTGGATTCTTGGTCGATGAACAGTAAGGACTCAGGCTGTCCTGAATGCCATGGTTCTCAAGTCATCCTCCAGGCCCAGCAGCAGCACAGCAGTGGACCAGCACCTCAGTTCTGCTGTGAAGCATTATGGGGCCTATAAAACTACCCATCCAGACAAGACAAGGCAGAATAGAGGGTTTTTCTACAGCTTAGCATACCATGAAGTATTTCAGACATGTTCCTGGTCTGTTTCTGACATATTCCAGATATCAGTAAATACTAGGGAGTTCTTTGGATCCATTTGAATGTATCCTTTTGCCTTAAGCTCTTGTTTTTATACTGTATTAGAAACTAATTGGGTTTTCTCCTGTACTGGTGATGCTCTCACTATTGGACCCACCAGAGTATCCTCTGTCTGTAGAGTATGAGTATGTGGGAAGGAGAAAGTACTTAAACCCAAGGTTAATATGCTATGCGGCCAGCACTTATGTTAATCCCCCCAGGAGTAAGACTTGCAACCTGGGAGTTGCTTAGCTACAAAAAGAAAGATAAGACTTCTTGCAGCAAGCCAAGATATCCTATTGTTATTCCTGGGCCCCCAAATGGCCACAGCTACTCAAAAAGGAGACCAGACCCCAGTTGTCCAGAGGAATGAGCCCTTGAGACAATGACTGTGGATCTGTGTGAATCTCTCCTGCAGGCTGGGCGGCTGTGGCCTCACAGCCAGCTGCTGCCAGGACCTGGCCTCTGCGCTCAGTGCCAGCTGCAGCCTGACAGAGCTGGACCTGCATCAGAATGACCTGGGCATCAATGGTGTGCAGCTGCTCTGCCAGGGGCTCAGGCATCCCACTTGCCAACTCACACTGCTGTGGTAAGGTCATGGGGATCTCCACTGAGGAGGAGCAAAGGGGGTGCCAGGAATGGGTTAGGGAGAGGAAATTGGACTGATAAATGCTTTTTTTGATATTTTATTTTATTTTATTTTATTTTATTTTATTTTATTTTATTTTATTTTATTTTATTTTATTTTATTTTATTTTATTTTATTTTATTTTATTTTATTTTGAAGAGTGAAAACAGAAGCAAAAGCAAATAGAACAAAGGCCAGAAACAGCGTAACATACAACAATATATATGTTACAGATTTTCAAAACAGAGACTGCTCATTAACAATGGTTGCTATATTGTCTATTTTTTTCATTTGAATGAGAAAAAAAGATAAAATAATAATGAAACATTTTCAAGACAGGTTATATATATGACAGTTACAATAATGAATACATTGCATACTGTTGTCTTTTTAGTAGTTATTCAGAGGACAAGATGGAGATATGATATCTTGTCTAAACAATATTAGTACAAACAATTCTTCTCAATGAACTAAGAGAAAGTAGCTGTATATCTATCCTAATTATCTTATATATACATATATATTTTTTCACACACACACTCAAACACAGACCAAAAAAAGCCCTTTATTTATATCCCCCTTTTTTGTTTTGTTTTGTCAGAGATGGGTGTTTCATTGTTAGAGAAGCTGTATTTGGAGAAGTCTTTTTTTTTTTTTAAACTGGTGTAGAACGGTTACTATTTTTCAATGAAACAAAGTTTAGGTCAGTAGGAAATAATTTTATTCAAAGAATTGTACATTTTCTCCCACATATCTTACTTTGAATTAGGAAATGACATTGCAATCCATTTCACTAAAAGTAAAATATTTACATGAAAATATTAAAAATAACTCAAACACAAAAAGATGAAACAAACTTTTGGGGGGCAGGGGAGATGGCTCAGTAGAATAAGTGCTTCCCTGGCAAGCACAAAGGCCTGAGTTCAATCCCTCATTCCAAAAAAAAAAAAAAAAAAAACCATGAAACAAGCTTTTTGAGAACTCACTATTCCAGGGCCCACAGCACACAAGAAGAAAGTCAAAATGCGTAAGCAGGATGAACCTGGTCACAAATTTCAAAAAAATTGGAGAAGTCTTTAAAGGACTTTTTCATACTTGATGCAAGACCAAAGATTGTAGGTACTTGAATTCAGCAAAATACTCCAATATAGCCCAATATGGACTGATAAATGCTTTATCAGCCTGGGCTCCCAGTCAACTTTGCCACATATTCACACCAGGTGACCTTGCCAAGTCTTCTGTAAAACTTGATTTCCTCAGTATGTATTGGGAGCATCACATCCACTTCATGCTTTCCTGATTACTAAGTTCTGAGCACCTTGGGATCATAGGGAGATCTCCAACAAACAGATCTCCTATTGCTTGCAGGCTTGACCAAACTCTTCTGAGGGAGGTGAAGGAGGAGCTGAGGGTCCTGAAAGAAGAGAAACCTCAGCTGCTCATCTGCAGCAGATGGTAAGGGCTGGCTATGGGGCTCTGGGCAACTCAGGCCAAGGGCTGACCACTATGGATGATCCAGAGTGAAACAATGGGGAGGGAGTCTTGGCGCTGTGGGAGAGACACACAGAGCCAGGGAGAAACCAAGAACCACAGCATGTGAGATGTTTATTTTGCTTTGCTTTGTTTTCTGGTTGGTTGGTTGGTTGGTTGGTTGGTTGGTTGGTTGGTTGGTTGGTTGGCTGGTTACTTATAGAACACAGAATCACTAACTTGCATGCATAAATCCTTCCATTGGACAAATAAGAAGATAAGAACGGGAGTAAGTGAATCCTATGGGCCCACCGCACTGGGATCACGATTGGTCACTAGCACAGTTTCCATAAATTAAGAGAAGACTTGGAACAATGAAGCAGTGACCACAGAGCAGGGCACAAATGAAAAGGCACAGAGAACCTTTTAGGAAAAGACTACCATCACACTACCCACCCCCAACACACATACACACACACACCTACACAACTAGATTAAAAGGGATCCTGGGGGCAGGAAAGCCAGACTCTCACCCACTGAGAATGAGTTGCAGCCCCATGCTTCTCATTTTGGCACATTGGCCTATGACCATGAGCTCTATCTGTCCTCAATTTCCTAGCCATTGTGCCTCCCTTGAAATGGAAGGCAAAAGGCTCCTAGGCTTAGAAGTCATCCATGCATTAAATATACATTCCCTGAAGATCTACTGTGTGTTGGGCATTATTTGAGCATCTTAATCACAGCTGAGAATGAGACACAAGCAGCCCAAGTTCCTGCCTCTCAGTCCAGAAAGGAGAAAGGCACAGATTCTCCTACACACCTATGCAATTGCACCTAGGGTCACTGTACATGCACTGGTAGGCCTGCCTGACTTCATCCAACAAAGTTATGATGCTTTATCCAATAGATCTCTGAAAGATGCAAAGGGTGATCTGGGGCAAGAAGGGGATGATTTCAGGGAGACATATGTGAGAAAATGAAAATCTCTATGTATAGGAAGCCACATGCGATGTTTCCTTCTGAGGGCAGGGATGGAGGAAAGATGGGTAACAGCACATCCTCACTCAAGCGACAGAGACCACAGTCAGGTATTTGAAGGGGCCAGGCTGGGTCCCTCTGGGAGGTCATCCCATCCATTCCCTGTCCCAGAGGTGAGACAGGAAGGTAAACCACCTAAAAGGGCCCTGCCCCATACAAGATCTTCAGTTCCTAGACCTCAGCTCTCTGAGACATAAAATGATCTTCCCCTCTGCAATATCCATGCCAAGCGTCAGAGTCTGCACCAAGCCTCAGTTTCCCATTTTGGACTACTGTTGCCTGAGAATCCCACGTGTAATGTTCAGCTTTCCACTGCTGGATGAAATACCCAACACCCACACCTTAAAGATGTGTACTTGGCTCGTGGTTTCAGAACTGTCAGGCCATGGCTGGTTAGCTCCAAGGCAGAAGCATCCTGGCATAATTGGGTGGTACAGCAGAGCCACTTAAATCACAGAAACCTGAAAGCAGATCATAGGGCAAGAGCACTACTGAGAGATACAACTGAAAATGCACATCCCTCAGTGACCTACCTATGACTGAGCTCTGATGCCTAGCAGCACATTCAGCTAATGAGTAGAGTTTTGATATGGTCCAGTCATTGCCCCAGGAGTCTCTTAATCCAGTCAAATTGACCATTAAGCTTAACCATCACATCATTCATCCATTACACCAGATTCCCTTCTCAAATTTTTGACCTGAGGCATGTAGAGAAAAGCAACACTTCTGGACAAGTGGGGAAGGGGAGACGGGCAAAGAGTGGTCAGGAGTTAGTAGGGTGTATTCCTAGTCACATCAGGTATACCCAGAAGCAGTGATGGGTACAGTTGGCAGACTCCTTTCATGGCCATTCATGCCATCCTCAGGAAGTTCCCTGCCATAAATAGACCCACTATAGCAGGATGGGGAAACCTGGCAGGAGCACATAAAGTTGACAATTGCCCTTCTGATCCCAGAGGGAGGTTCCCCACAGTTCCCCCAGATGGAACCTTTCCTTTCACCCTCTCTTTCCCATCTGAGAGGCCAGCACATGAAACCCCTGGGGGCTGAAGATAACTTCCATGGACCAACAGGGCCTGTGCCTACTGAAGTTGTTGACAAGGAGAGGAACCTGTGCAGGTAAGTGAGGGGCTCCAGCTCCCACACTGGATCCCCATAGTACCACTTGTTCCTCTGCTCTTGTTGGGCTATCAGAAATGGGACTGAGACACTGGCTGTATGCAAAGTATAGAAATAGATGTTTTACATAAAAATAGAGAGAGTGCAAGGAGCTAAGCCCATGTCCTTGCTTCAGCTACAATGTGACATTTATTTCAACTGTTCTATTTCCTCATTCTTTTCACCACTGTACTATTTTAAATCCAACATAATCATGTAATTTTATCCTTAAATACTTCATTATGGATCTCAAAAAATAAAAAAAGCTATTGTTCTATGACTACCATGCCATTATCATATCTAACAATGTTGACATTGCTTCATGTCATCTAACTACAATGTCTATTTACATACACTTAATTATCAAAAATGTCTTTGTGCTAGGGATATAGCTCAGCAGCATAAGCGTCTGCCTGGCAAGCACAAAGTTCTGTATTCAATCCCCAGTACCAAACAAAAAAGGAAAAATTTTCTTGCTAGTCACTTGGGTTTTTTTTCTTTTTAATGTATTTGGTTGTTACAGGATCTCACTATGCAACTCAAACTCATAGTGATCCTCCTGTTTTTCAGAGGATCCCCATGGATTATAGGTGCATACCACTACACCAGACTCTGTGGTCAGATCAGGCTGCTCTGGAAGTTGAGCTGGTGCAACATGTGGTGCCAGGGATTGAACTGCAGTCCTTGCACTTGCCTAAGCTTGCCTAAACAGTTGCTTTAATCCACTGAACTATCTCACCAGCCCTAGTGACTTGTTCTAAATGTTATGTCTCTTAAACCCCACTTAAATATATTTCAATGTATAGTCCTTTGTTTTATTAATAGCCATATGTGCTAAGTGCCTACTTCTTAGCAGAGGACCTTCATTCAGATGAGGGTGGTAGATCTATAAACCAAAGGATTATAGCCTCATAAGAAACACATGTTTATAATCATAATCATGATTGCTTCTTTTGTGTGCAGTACTGGAAAATGAACCAGGGCCTTCAAACTAAGTTAAAACCCTACCTTGTTTATTTCATTAATTTTATTGAGAAAGAAATAGCAAGGAGACAGTTTCAAAACAGGTTAGTAGGACAGTTACGATAATTAATACATTGTATATGGTTGTCTTCATAGTAGTTATTCATAGTATAAGATGTGGACATGATATCTAAACACTATTAGTACAAATCTTCTCATTGAACTAAGAGAAAGTAGCTATATATCTATTCTAACTATTTTGTATATACAGATATATATTTTTTCACTACAAAATGGTCCTTCCTTTATATCCTTTTTTCTTTAGTTTTGTCAGAGATCCTACACCATTTTTTATATTTAACTTTTAAATAGGTCTCTATAAGTCAGTAAGTTGTTCAGGCTGAGCACCAACTTTTAGTAATTATCCCTAGGGCACTCAGACTAATAGATTACAAGCCTGTGCCACCACACCCAGGTATAACCTCATATATAACATGTTACCTTTAGCCAAACACTATTGCCCCTGGCCCAGCTGGACAATGGTATCATTCCTATATCTACCTATAGAAATATGTATCTGTTCACCCAACCATATACCATAAATAAAGCCTTGAAAAGTCACTTATATTTCACTTATATATTCTTTTTCACATGTAAAGGTTATTACTGGTATTAGTATATACATTGTTATTAACTATTGGTAATTGGGCCTTTAAAAATAAGAGCACTTGTCTATTTTATAATCATCATCATAGAAAAAGCTATCTGCTTCCAGGCATGTGTTAAGCTGTCACCTTGCATTAGGTCACTCGTCATTCACAGTTCTGTGAGATGGGGACAGCCATCTCCTATTGACAGATTAGAAACTAAGAATATGGAGGTTAAAATATTTTATCTAACATTTTATCCAGGACTCATAGTTACATAGCAGAGGGTCCAGGATCCAAACCCAAATTCTCCTTACTTTGAAGTCATTTTGTAGCCTCTTCACTGTCCCACAAGTGTTTGCACAAGGTCTGGCATCCAGCTGATGCTCAGTAAGTTTGCATAGCTCAGTGTCTGCCTCTTCTTTTTTCTTCCAGAGTTCACTTCCCTATGGCTGGTTCATACCACTGGCCCAATACAGGCCTTGGCCTTGCAGTGACAAAGGCAGTGACCATTGAGATTGAATTCTGTGCCTGGGACCAATTCCTTGGCATCAGTGAACTGCAGCATACCTGGATGGTAGCAGGACCTCTCTTTGACATCAAGGCTGAGCAGGGAGCCGTGGCCGCTGTGTACCTCCCTCACTTTGTAGCTGTCCAAGGTAAATAAAGGAAGGACAGGGAGGAGGGTGCTGGTAACAATAGGCCAAAGGGGTATAGGATGAAGAAGGATGGGAAGAGAGCAAGAGGAGAGAGAGCTATAGAGGCAGACACTGAGATTGTTCATCATTGTTCTGTTCTCTGCACATATTTTTTGAGCACATGTTTACCACCTTAAAATTATTTGTATTTAAATTATTTATATTTATTTTATTTCCTAAATTTCCATGAATGTTTCCTCAAAAGGGAAAAGTCCCCTTCATAATATTAGCATACATTCAGTAAGTACTTTTTACATAGATTGTATCACTCACCATCACAGAAAGAAGTGCATGAAACTCTCAGTTGAGACTTTTGAAGACTGTTTCATAGGTAAAACCATGAGCTGGGGAGATAGCTCAATGGTCTAAGTGCCTGCCCAGAAAGTGCAAGGACCCAGGTTCAATCCCCAGTACTACATGCTGTGACGGCCCCAAGCCAAATTGGCCACTGAAACACTGGGGAGGCTAAGACAAGAGCATCACTACAAGTCTGAGCTGCATAGTGAGACCCTGTACCAAATAAATAAATGATTTTTAAAAAAAAATTTTAAAGATAAGACTGTGTACAAAGTAAGGCTACAGAAACAAATAAGGATTATTTGGTACCCCAGATCTGGTAATAAAATGTATTACCAGATTTCATTCGACAGCTGGAGAGGAGTTTCCTAAGACAAGACAGCAGTCACAAAGAATCTAGACTTCTAATACCTCCAAAGCCTGCCCACAGATAAAGCCATAAGAAATACAAGTTCACTATCAAAAAGCTAGCAAGGTATCCTGACAGCCACCAGAACCATCAGGTAATATATTTAGCCCCTTAAATACTTCAGAGGGTGGACTCATAAGAAATGGAACATAAAATAGGTTCTTATAATATTCCCAAATAAATAAGTAGATGTAAAAACAAGAGCAAGAAGCCATTAAAAATAATCAATTTAGAACAAATCAAATTGAAAGCAAGTATGGCAAAAACATCTTAAAATATTAATTAATGTGGAAAACATTTTGAAAAAATCTCAACTACATTTAATTGCAACTCCAGAACAATAAAACAGAGAAAAATGGAAAAGGCACAATATTCAAAGAGATAGTCACCAAGAAATTTCTAAAATCACTGAGAGATATGAGACTTCTCAGGAAGAGAAATCCCAAAAGTCCAAACCAGGTAGGAGAGAAAAAAAAGAAATGAGAGAAAGCAACACTATAGTAAAACTACAAAATAGCAAAACTGAAGGGAGGGTCTTTGCAGCAGCCAGAAAGGAAGATTACCTAGCCCTGCCCCACAGGATAAAGATGACTGACTTTGGAGCAGCAACAGAGGAAAGCAGAAGATGATGGAAATGATACCTTCAATGTCTCGAGAAGGTAAATGTCCATCAAGAATTGAAATAAGGAAAAATACTGTTAAGAGGATGATAAGACAGACATTTTAGACTAAACAAAAGCAAGACGGCTTTGCCCAAAATACATGGCTACTGATGGAAATTCTGCAGGACATACTTCGGGCACATGGAATATGGCCTTATAAAAAGTGTGTGAAGTACAAGATGTAATGATAAGCAAGGATACTAATATACATTTGGGCAAAGCTGACAAAATAGTGGCCTATGAAAATAATAATAAAGATGTCTCTATGAAGGTACTTAATAGAGATAAAAGTCAATAAATACCAACAGTAATAGCAAACAATAGTAGTAAAAGATTCTAAGGAATTTATAGGCGTCACTAGGAAAATAAGGGCAGGGCAGACAGCACATCAGGTGTACCAGTTATGTAGTCCATACCAAAGTGCTGAAATACCTTTATATTACTCAGTAAACGGAAATTCTCCATTCCTTGAGACCACAAACTACCGAACATCCTTCAGTTTTGGAAACAGACGTGAAGAATGGGGCTTGGGTGGGATGAGGTATGGATGGGGATTATGAGTCAGTGTTGCTCTGAACCAGCCCAGGGAAATCAAGAGAGTCCAAGCATTCCAGGAATCAGGATGGGGCCATCATAGCCATATGATGACAGGGGCCATGGCACAGGCCCTCCACACCAGACCAGGTGAGCAGAGCTGGCATCAGATGCAAACCAGCCACTGCTAAGTGCCAAGCAAATAGTGTCTATCATTCAGCGAGAAAGAAGAATCAGATTAGTTTACTCACATCAGATCGTGACACAAGAGATGGGCATGGTGGCACATGTCTGCAATCTCAGCACTTGAGAGAATGAGGCAAGTTTAAGGCCAACCTGGACTACTTTGTGAGTCCAAGTCCAGCCTGATCTACACAGTGAAACCCTGTCTCAAAAAGACAAAACAAATATATTTTATTTCATTCATGATAGAATGATGTGATAAAAAATTGCAGCTTTTATCAGTTGTAACCACTATCATGATATGTAGAGCTTAGTTGGTAATGAAGGACATTTATCATTCATCTTTCTTTTTATATTAATTAATTCATATATTAATTCATAATACCATTTTAATAGTTCTATATATTTAGTATAACTATAATTAGTCATACTAGAAGATGACTTCAGGTATGACTAAAGTCATACCTAAGATAGAAGTATTAACTTTAGGCTTACACATTAAACTATTATCAAATCAAGTATCAATAGAAACATAATCATAAAAGCATGATTTATAAACTAATGGAAATAAAAAATAATGAGTAAAATAAAAATCAAAGAACTGCATAGAACCTAGGAATAGAGAAGTCTCAACAAAACATCAGTAAACAACTGAACCTGCTCACCAGAAATCATGGAAAGGAAGAAATAGAGTCCAGTGATTCAGACACTAGGGAATCCTGGGGTCACACAGTTGTTCCCAAGGGAAGGTTCCACAATAAATCAGGGTGGGAGTAGGAGGAACAAAGTAGGCATGTAGGCTATAAAGCCCCAGTTATAAAGGGAGAGAGCAAGAAAGACTCGAATATTATGTGAGACAAGCTGTGTTTTCCCACATGGAAATCTACAGAGCAATGATTTGGGCCCATTGGATCTCTGGGTGATCCATGAAGAAGCGAGTCTTAGGGCCGGCCAGATAGCTCAGCAGACTAAAGCACCTGCTTTGCACAGCAGTGGCCAGGTTCAATCCCCAGGGTGCCATGCTGGCCCTGCCCCCAAGGCGCGCTGAGATGGTGATTAAGACTGGTCAGGGTGGCTTCCACCTATAATCCCAGCATTTGGGAGACTGAAAACAGGAGAATCACTACAAGTCCTGTCTGTGTAGTAAGACTGTGTCGTATAGAACCTGTACTAAATACAAAAAAGAAGAAGAAGAGTCTTGGCCATTGGAGTCAGTGGGTTCAGCCCTCCCATTGCTCTGCCCATTCTCAACAATGATGAACTTCACCTACCCTCAACTTGCACCAGGGAATTGTAGCCTGGTAGTTGTCTCATGTGGTGAAGGCCTGGAATCAGAGTACACAGCAGTGTCTCGGGGGCCACAGTCTGCCTAGTCCTTGCTTCCACCTCCTTCTCACACCTGATCTGCAGATGAGCAACCTCACCCCTCCCCACTGTATAAACATCCCAAGCATTCTCTGCTCGGCATCAGGTGGGCATGGGAAATGGGACTTAACCAAGGCATTGCTGATCCTCTGAGTGCAAAGGAATCTAGCCTGAGCCTGCCAGGCTGAAGAAGCTGGACAGAAACGAATTCATGAAGCCGTGAGGACTGCCCTTGAGGACTCCTGGGACATGGCTAACAAAAAAGAATGTGAAAAGAATTACTAAACATTATGTACCAGGCACCAAGCATGCAAGAAATAAATACAATGGTTCCTCAGTTCATGAACCTGATTCTTTTTTATATATTTTCCCTGCTTTTTCATTTTAAAGAGAGAAAAAAATAACAATGAAGCAGAATTTCAAAACAGATTAGTAGAGAGTTACAATAAGTAATATATTGTGTATTGTTATCTTTGTAATAGTTATTCAGAGTACAATATATAAGTATGATATCTTGTCTAAACAATACTAACACAAACCTTTATTTTCAATGAACTAAGAGAAACTAACTGCATAACTATCTTTTTTGGGGGGTCAGGCTGGTGCAGCATGTAGTGCCAGGGATCAAACTGTGGTTCCCTGCGCCTGCCTAAACTTGCCTAAGCAAGCACTTTAGACCACTGAGCTATCTTGCTGGCCCTGTATAACTATCTTAACTATCTTGTATATACATAATTTTTTTCTTTTTCAGTTTCTCACCCAGTGAGACAATGCAAAGTTTATACCAATGGATCAGATTTATTTCTTTTTCCCTTTCTTTCTTTCAGAGATATACTATTATGAGTAGGTGTGGTGGAGCATGCCTGTAATCTCAGCTACTCAGGAGGCTAAGACAGAAGTGTTACCGATTGGTGGAGGATTTTTTTTTTTTTTTGGCTCAATACAGATCAAAACCACATATTGGCAAAGTACAATCCCTTTGATATTAGTAGCTCCAAGTATTTCATTGCAGAGCCTCTCAGTTCTCTTTTACAGCTCTTCATGTAACCCTGTACCCTGAGTGTTAGCAGGTCCTAGTGACTATCAGCCACCCCTAAGTTCCTCAACAGTCAGCTTTCATAGCTCTCTCAGAAACATTCTGGAACTTTCTAGCAGCTTCTGGCAGTTCTTCCCCTTCTCTGTGAAATCCTTTACAAGGTAGCTTCAGGTCTATTATTACTTTGCTGTTGGCTCTCTGCTGTTCTCTGTAGTTCTTCAACAGCCCTCTGGTTGCTAAGCACATTCAGGGTAAATCGTTCTTATTTTAGTACAACCAACTCAGCCTGCTCTGTCCAAGAACAAATTGCATAGGCAAGATGACAATAAAAACCGGACCTTATTGGAGCCCATGCAAACAGGGCTGAGGGTATCACACACAAGAGAGCCCTTCTGGACTGATCTCACTACTTATGCAGACAAAAGTTAGGCCAATAGGTAGCCTCTGCATCTTAGTAATTATTTGAGGACCTCAG